GGATCCGCCTTTGATCCTCACGCCACGCGCGACGAGCTCCACCGCTACGCTGCGCGTCTCCTTCGTCGTGAGGGCGAGCTCACCGCAGCTCTGGCCTTCCAGACTTTGCCCCACGGCTCGGATCCGCCATCCGTAGAGCATCTGGATCGTCTGGATGATCTTCGCGACTACATTCGCGAGCAGGATCCAGCGAACGCCTTCATGCAGTAGACGATCAACGGTCTTCGAGCGGATCGGGATACGCTGCAAGCTACACTCGACTCCCACGGCCACGCGATCCATGATCCACACGCATCCGCCACCCACGTTCACTCCCTCGAGCGGCAAGTGGCGGATCTGGAGTCCCAAGTGACTCGGTTTCTGCAGGAGCGTGAATATGCAGGCGCGGAGGTCCTGGATCTGCAGGAGCAGCGTAATACGGCGGATCGCGCCCGAGATCAAGCCACCCACCAGTTGCAGGTCACTGAGGGAGTATTGCGCCATACCTGTCAGGCCTTGGATCGGGCTGAGGCCGATCTGTTGATTGCGCGCCAAGTCGCGGCTGTGGTTGCGCCAGTTCCGTCATCGCTGGATCTTCAGGCTAAGTTGGATCAACAATTGGCCGTCCAGTAGCGCTCCAGGATCGGTTCGATCAAGTTTCAGCCGAGCGCGACTCGTTAAATGTGAGGGTCCAGGCCATGGATCAGGAGGCGGATACACTTCGCAGTCAGATCCAAGATCTAACGGTGGAGTTTAAAAAGGCGAAATCGCGCTACGAGGTAGCGCGTGTCGATTTGGCTGGCGCGGTCAAGCGCGAGAAGGGATACCGCGACGCGAGCGAGGATCTGAGTACGTTTCCTTTTACTTGATCTAGATCCCAACTCTTCGCTAATAAAATATCGTTTTCCTTCTTGCAGAGCGTGACGTCACTGTGACTCGGACTGATTATGCCGACGCTGAGCGGTCGATCACGGAGCAAATGGCCCAGGTCTTGAAGTCAAGTCGTCAACTGGTCCACCTCGATCAAGAGCGCACAGATCTGCGGCGCGAACTACGGAAGGCGCTGGAAATGCTGTCCACAGTGGCCGCCGGGATGGGATCAAGCCCTCCGACTACCAAACTTTGTCTTGATAGTCCTCCTCGAGATCAAAAGCAGCCAGATCAAGAGAAGCGGGATCAAGAAAGCCTGGATCACGACAGACCAAGTCAGGAGAGTTCAGATCAGGACAACCTGAGTATGGAAAGTGAAGATCGGGACAAGTCGGCTCAAGACAAACCAAGTCAAGAGAGCTCGGATCGAGACATGTCAGATCAAGGCAACTCAGAACTCGACAAGTCTGATCAGGATCGGTCCGACAAGGATCCCGACTACACACCCACACCCAACGGGTCTGATGAATCTTCTTTCACGGACAAGCGTCAAGATCTCCCCCCAGTAAGAGATCTCGTGACCTCTTCCCTTCTCGCGACGCAGATCGTCCTTCCAAGAGAAAAGTTCCTATGACTGAAGATCACAAGAGGGATCTGGATCACGAGGAAGATCAAGACGACTACGACATGGGCGGGGGCTTGGACGTCGAAGAACCCTCAGATCCAGATCACCCTCTACTCGACAAGTTGTTGGAGAAGGATCGCGGGGCTGCGACTCCTGTTCCGACCCCCGAGCTGCGCTACTTATCTTATGAGAAAGATATGTCCGAGAGATCTGACATCCCAGCAAGCTTGGATCCTGCGGCCAAACCCAAGCCCAAGTCCAAAGCTCGATCAACTGATGATCCTAAGCCCTCCAAGGACGCGGATCTAGAGGGAGAAGATCGAGAGTCGGAGGCAGACACGTCAGCCGACGGCGATGACGACGATACTTTGAACGACATGTTACAAGCTCAGACGCTCATGGCTCTTTCTCGATCCAGATCCGAGCAGAGACGTCGCGATCACGCTGCTCCTCGGTGCACCGGGGCTGGCGACGCTGGAGATCCTGGATCCGGCGGTGATTCAGATGGTGATGGCTCGAGCAACGGCAGCGGTGGTAGGGGCGGCGGATCTCCTGCGGATCCAGCTGGAATGCCCCTCGTTTCCACAATGCTTCCCCGACGCCAATTCGCTCCCGACAACCTATGTATCCCTGGCCGCCAGCAGACTCGTCAGTACAACATTGCGGACCGGGTGATCCAGCGGATCAATATCCCGACGATCATGACGATGACTTTGGAGGTGCTATCTCGCGCATTACCTTTTCGTCCGGAGTGGATCTTCCCCAGTCATCTTCCTCGGGCCGCCATTCCAAGATCAGGGCAGTATTGTAGTCACTTGATCACGGGTCAAAACGTCCGTGACCTCATGGCTGTCCTTCCCTGGAATGTTCTCACTGGTGCTAACATCCCCGAGCCCACGTCGTTCGAGATCACAGTCGATGGTCGCTTGGGATTCCTGATCGAGAGATATTCTGCTGTGGAGTTCCAAGATCTGATCGCCTATTGGGAGTCCACACACCGTTTCCCAGTTTCGTCAGCCTTGATCCGCAGCGATCCATACTTGGCCACCTTCGTCGTGGAACGGAAGAATCGTCGGTCCCATGCGGGCGCTCGGTGGAAACAGATCCTACGTCTCTTCTTGATCGCGATGCGTGAGGGCTGGTGTGATCTGGATCTGCTGCTGGACCCTTATTTTCTTCACTTTCCCAAGCGTACGGACAACGTGGCCTGGTATCCCGGGATCGAGGCTCGCAGTGCTAACATTGCAGATCCGCAGCTGAATCGACGTGAGCCTGCTGACCTAATCGAGGCTCTCGCTGAGTGCGACGCCGCGAATCCGTGGCGTACCCACTACCGACTTCACCATGCGGGCCATCCTGCTCGCCGGATCGCCCGTCTCGTCGGCAAATTCTTCAACATGGAGGCCCTGAACCCCAACGCGCTACCTCTTGCTCCTCAGCCATGATCCTGACATTTCTCCATACGTTCTCTTCAGATCATCTGCGTTTAAGCGTAGTACATGTCATTTCTTTCCGGATCTGTGTACACCGATACCCTTCATGCTCGTCATTCGCCTTTTGATCCATAATCTCTCAAGTAATACAGTCTTAGATCTACAATCGAAATTCAGCTTCGCTCACTCCATGTCTATCTCAAAATCAAATTCGCTCCATTTCGATCCTCTGTCAACATATCATCATATATAAAGTCACATAACCCCTGTCCTCCGACATGTAACCTCCTTGCAGATCCATCGACTTTCAGCCACACCAGTGACCAACTCACCAGTGTGGATCCAGATCTCACGGTTCCTCGTGAGACTGCATCACACCGAAACGGTTGCAATTGGCACGATCTCGCAAGAACTCATAGAGAAGAGCACCGCAGTTGAAATCTGCCTCATCCACCCAGGTCGGATCTTCATATCCACGCCAATGTACTAGAAATTCTCGATAGATCCGGCCATATCTAGTCTTCTTGCCAGTCCTCGTATCAGAAATCCGCTCCACTTCGAATTCATCTGGATCCCGATCTTGAATCCAGCTGTCTTCAGGTAGGAGAGCTTCATCAAAATCCACCCGATCTCCTTCTGACCCGTTCAGACGAGCTACGAGTTGATCTGGGAATACCTTGACCAGTTTGATCTTCGACACATGCACCACCGGGAAAATGCTGTATGTGGATCCTGCTACCTCCAACCTCACGGCGTATTCCCCGATCTTCTTGGCAACGCGGAATGGACCATGCCATAAGTGCGCCAGCTTTTTCATTCACGTACACGATCTAGGTATAGCCAGACCCTTGATCCAGACTCTACAGGATGAGGTCGTGCTAGATCATTATGCGTATCGGCCCGATCCGCGATCGGCTCACGTAGACGTTGGCTCACTTGTTCTCTGGCCTGTTGATAATACTTTTGCATTCGATATCGCCATCTTCTCGGATCTCGATCGTACCTGCGAGTACTCCCCACCGGGATCACAGCTTCCAGGGCAGATCTAGGATCCCAGTCATGTATCATGTAGAAAGGCGTTTCGCCTCGGATCCGATCCCTTGCAGTGTTGATGGCGAAGGTGAGTCGTTCAGCATATTCGTCCCAATCTCGTTGATCTAGGCATCTTAAGAGCCCTGGTAGTTGTCTGGACCATACGTTTGAGAGAACCATTAGCTTGGGGCCGATACGCCATAGTAGCCCGTTGGCGTTGTCCCAGGATCTTATTGAACGACTTAAAGAAATCAGACATAAATCCTGGCTCCCGATCGTGTCGGATCACCTCGCTCGCGCTAAGTCGACGGAAGACGCATTCTTCGTAAGTCTCAGCGATTGTTTGAGCGGATCTAGAGGCGCTGGTTTTGGCGATCACATATCCCGAGAATAGATCCACGAAAATCAGCAATTCAGTGTTGCCGTTGAAGGATCTAGATAGTGAAGGTATATGATCCATGGCAATAATCTGAAATGGTTACGTCCCTGAAGGTTACCGGGTGATTCGCCCTGGATCCGAGGTCTTCCCTTGCCTGTTTCACAGTCGACACATTCCCCCACGTATCGCTGTACACTCTTATACAGACCTCTCCAGTGGAAGTGATCACGGATCCGATCGTAGATGCGACCGACCCCTTGATGACCACCCTGTAGGCTCGTATGATAGTGTGCAAAATGTCCTGTTGAAGAGTTTCAGGTATCACTAGTCGCATCAGCTTATCTCGATCAGCGGCAGTTTCCTTAGTTGCCGGGCAATAGAAGAGTAGATCCCACTGATCCACTCCATAATTCATAGCAATAGGTCCAAACATCTTAGCCGCTTCCTGAGTCAGATCCCGGATCTCCCCGACCAAATGCTTCTTCAAGCCCATGATCCATGACTCCTCGTCCTGCGCTTGACGGATTCGCTCGATCCACAGCTCTCTCACGACCTCTTCTCGTAGGGAGTTTGGATCAGATCCCACACGTACCCCCGATCTAGCCTTAGATCGGGTCGTCACAGCTGATACCCGTACGATTTCTTCACTATCAGGATCTCATCCAACCGATTTAAAGTTATGAGATCCTGGATCTCTGCATCAGACTCTATCTCGATCCCACATTGCCGTTGTAGAGCAGCACTTGCCAGGCTGTCAGCACTCCCATTCTAGTCTCGTTTGACGTGCAATAGTTCATGATCTGGCCATGCCTGTAGTCGATCCAAGGCTCGCTGACGTAACAGTGTCAGCCCCGGCGCCTTACAATCGATCTCTCCTCGTACTTGTCGTATCACCAGGTTTGAGTCTCCACAGCTCACCAGACGCCGTGGATCCAAATCTTCCAACAGATCCAGACATAGTAGCAGCCCATGATACTCCGCCTCATTCACCGTCAAGCCTTCGGCATACCCTGATCTAGCCTTCAATACTCTCCATTCTGGAAGCTTCCACAAGATCGCGCTGTAGGCGCCTCCACCTCTCTTGACCCGGGCTGATCCGTCGAAACTGACGAGCTCCTCATCTCGCCTGATAGTGGGGATCGGAGCTTGGATCTTACGTCTTGGCTCCTTTTTTGGGTCGGTCGAGATCAATGCCTTATCCACTTCTGATCTAGGGTTAATACTGGCTGCTAGTGCTTCCAAGATCTCATCCTCTCCTTTGACACACTTGGTGATCTCAAGTGTCCAAGGCGACAACAGAGTCCTAAACGTCCTTGTAAGGCCGTGGATCTGAAGAGCCACGCCAATGTTGAGTGTCGGGTTAACACATGGATTGGACGTCCGACCAACGCATTGTAATTAAGATCCAGGATCCTCAGAAGGGCTAGTACCTCCTTCTCTGCAATGCCGTAGTTTAGCTCGTTCGACTTCAGAGTACGGCTTGCAAACGTCACAGGGTAGTGGACCTGGTCGTATTCTTGCATCAATGCTCCCGAGATGGCCCAATCGCTAGCGTACACCACCACTGTGGCCTCCCGATCTGGGTCAAAGTGTTGTAAG